CATATAAGAATCACATTTTTACAGTAGTTCGGCAAATTTGAGTATGATACAAATATATTGAACTCATAAGTGTGATATCAATATATTGAACTCACATTAGTGCAGCAATACCATTACAAGTAACAAACTCAGGTTTTCTAAATCTTATATATAGGCATCAGACTAAGGGCTGGTTTGGTATTTCTGTGCTTTGAAAAAAAACTGCTGTGAGAATAAGCGACTGTGAAATAAATCAGCAGAGTGTTTGGTAAACTTTTTTTGTAAAAGTGCTTTTGGAAGAAAAAAAAACAGTCTAATAGTGGGTATTTTCATTAAAGGAGCACTGTAGCTCTGTTTGCTTTTAAAAAAAGCCAGTTTTCCAAAGCTGCAAATAGCAGCTTCAACTTTTTCCTTTGATTTCATCTTATTCTCACAGCAGCTTCCAAAATAAGCTTTTTTTTTCAGTTTACCAAACACCTAAAACCCTCACAGCTTTTTTTCATGGGTGCTTTTTTTTTAAGCACCTCACTCCCAAACCACCCCTAACTCAAACTATTGTGAAAGACCTTATTGTTAATACTTCAATGCATTTGAATAACTAAGGGTTCATTTGGATGTGCCTCTAAAATGATTGAAACCGTTTTTGAAACCAATCCTTAGTAAAAATGCAAGTTAATTATGAAATAACATTTAAAGTGCCTCCTGGAAGAAATATATAACTGGTGCTTCTTGTAGAAAGCACTTTAAATGCTTTTGGAACCGAAAAATATTTTCTCTAAAAGTACTTTTAGTAATTTTAAAAACATATCCAAACAAGCCTTAATAGTATAGTCTGACTCAGACTGCTCCATTACGCTATTTTCAAATATAGTCTTCGCTTATCACAGCACGAGAAAAATTAGTCACTCGTCTCTAGCAATTTTCGTCATGAACATATGATTGTCTTAATCATGTTTGAGAGGTCTTTTTACTTCCTATATTATTTTAAATTATATATTTCATTAATGGTGTTTCTTTTATAACAAATCTGATCTAATTAGTGGAATTATTAGTATTTACGGTTTGGAAAATTTGAGTATGATACAAATATATTGAACTCATGAGTGTGATATCAATATATTGAACTCATATTAGTGCAACAATACTATTACAGGTAACAAACTCAGGTTTTCTAAGTCTTATATATAGGCATCAGATTCACTCAAACTACTATGAAAGACCTTAGTGTTAATACTTCATTGTATTTGAATAACTAAGAGCTCATTTGGATGTGCATATAAAATGATTGAAATCGTTTTTTGTAAAAATATTTTTGGAACCAATTATTAGTAAAAATACAAGTAAATTTTGAAAAAACACTTAAATGCTCCTTGAAAGAAACATATAACTGGTGCTTCTTGCATAAAGCACTTTAAGTGCTTTTGGAACCGAAAAATATTTTTTCTAAAAACGCTTTAAGTAATTTAAAAATACATCCAAACAAACCTTAATAGTATAGTCTGACTCAAATTGCTCCATTACGCTCTTTTCAAACATAAGTCTTCGCTAATCACAACACGAGAAAAATTAGTCACTCGTCTCTAGCAATTTTCGTCATGAACATATGATTGTCTTAATCATGTTTGAAAAGTTTTGTTTTCTTCCTATATCTGAATTAATTTTAAATTATATATTTCATTAATGGTGTTTCTTTTATTACAAATTGGATCTAATTTATGGAATTATTAGTTTTTTTTGTTTTGGGTAAAAAATTAGTGGAATTATTGATAAACTAATAACTAATGCGTTTTTCCTACAATTAATTTAATTTATGATTGCAGAAATATTCCAAAAATTGGGATCCAAATCAATTAGCGAGCGGGACGCAATGATCAAGTGCACCCGTTCTCACAAGTACTACGACTACTGTTTCATCGACGGTCCAGTAGTTTTGGACCCCACCACCTCAACATTCTATGCAGCGGACCCCACCGGCCCAACCTTGGTGGAAAAAATCAAGCCCTACCCACGAAAATTTGAGAATTCAACAATGTCCCGAATCAAAGAGCTCTCTCATCTCAGGCCCACCAGGCCCAAAGTCCCAGGTCCAACACACTGGCCCGGCCCTTGTATTCAGTGCCGGCGGGTACACCGGCAACATGTTCCATGATTTCAATGATGGGTTCATCCCAATCTTCATCATCGTCCATTCGATCCTCCACTATCAGGCGCCCATCCTTGTGATATCGGAAGCACGCGATCGGTGGGTTAGTAGGTATGCAGATTTACTGAAGATTTTTAGCAAGCACACGATCATAAACCTCGATAATGATACCGCCACCCATTGTTTTACTTCTGCCAGCGTGGGGCTTATATCTCACGGACTTGTCACCATAAACCCTACGTTGTTACACTACCCTAAAACGATGGTACATTTCCATGCGATCCTGGACAAAGCCTTCGGAAAACACCGCCGCGATTGCAAACCTTGGACTTCCAGGCCACGCCTCGTCTTACTCAGTCGAACCCTAGGCGTTGGCCGGGCGATCTTGACCCAAGACGATGCGAGGCGAGCAGCGGAGAAGGTTGGTTTTGAACTTGTGATTTTTGAGCCGACCTCTACAACTGACATGCACTTTGCGTACGATTTAATTAGTAAGAGCCACGCGATGGTGGGCGTGCATGGCGCGGCGCTTACGCACTTGTTGTTCATGAGGCCCGGCGCGGTGTTCATGCAGATTGTGCCTCTCGGCACCAACTGGCCGGCGAAGGTATGCTATGAGAGTCCGGCTAGGGCTATGGGGCTGCAGTACATTGACTATAGGATTGATGTAGAGGAGAGTAGCTTGGTGCACAAGTATGGGAAGGATGACATTGTGGTGAAAGATCCGGCTGCTAAAATTGGTTCCAATTGGGATATCTTGACGAAGATATATTTGAAGGAGCAAGATGTTAAGTTGGATTTGAATAGGTTTACTTGGTTTTTGAAGTCAGCTTATGGGAAGGCCAAGAGATTCATGGAGAAGGAAGGGTAGTGCCATTTCGTCAACTGTGTTGTTTTTCATTGCTCTTGATTGAGTTTTAAAAATTATTTCATCCTATACATTATGTATGATCGCGTTTAATAACTTGCAAAATTTTAAAAGAAGGTGATTTATGACACATAATATTTGATCGCATCTTCAATAGAATTAAAATTGGTGAGAATACCGCAGATTAAATACAATAATATAAAATAGGGCAAACATAAATTAAGAAATGGAACCAACCCAAGTGGGCAAATTAGCCAAAACACAAAAAAGTGGCCAAGCAATTTTTTGGTATATTCATAACACGATCACGTGAAATTACTTCACTCAAATTATGACATTAGATATTTTTTTTATTAATATAATATACTCTAGAAGTAGGACATATCAACTTTGTCGATTGCCTAATTATAATACGTGAAATAACGCACCATGTGAATTGTGTAACCGAAACCTATAAAAATTTCTCCAAAAAAAGGATGAGAAGGAACTTAATTAGTTAAGAGCATCTCCAGCAAAAGCCTAATTGCTGTCTTTGGACCGATTTTGGTGCTCCAACGGTGAAAAAAAAGCAGGCGACTGGGTGAAAGGTAGGAGCCCAATGGGCTGCCCTGCCAATTGTTGCACGGGCTTGCACCTTTTTTTTTTGTAGCACAACGATATATTTTACACTAAGGAGAGGGGGAGTTCGGCTAAGCCGCACAATGAGTAACCAATTTGGTATCGAATTTTCCATATACGAGATTCGAACCTAAGACCTCTCACTCACAAATGAAGAGGAATACCATCATACCGTAGTACTGAGTGACTGCACCCTTTTAATTAACAGGAGGAAGAGGGAAGGTCCCACCCATGTGACAACCCAGCCTCCATTAGCATGGAACTGGATCCTCTCCGGATCCAAGGGATCTGAGCCAACTGAGCAATGCATTCGGGCCATTGAAATTTGATCAAACGGTTACAAACAGGGGCCCCCTCTAAAGTTATAATAATTGTAGCCATTTGATCAAATTTTAATGACCCAAATGCATTGCTCAGTGGGCTCAGATCATTTTGGATTCGGAGAGGATCCAATTCCCATTAGCACAACCCAGTTGGATTTTCAACATTAAAAAAAATTGTAAATAACCAAAAAAAAAAAAAAAACCAAAAAAATTCTAAAAAAAAATGCAAATGTGTTTTTTAACAACACACTTAAATTAGACACAATTAAGAAACTTCAAGAGTTCAACCATCTTCTCCATTTGCCTTTATTTTTAATTAATTATGGTTGTTTGTAATGCTATGCTTTGTTTTGTATTTAAAATTAAATTTTTTAAAGTTGCCACTTAGTATTACGGTCTAATAGTATTCCTCTTCACTTGTAAGTGAGATGTCTTAAGTCCGGTTTTCGCCAAAGACGAATTTGAACCACAATGTTGCTACCCCATTGTGAGGCTTACCCAACTCCTTCACCTCCTTAACGGGTGAAGATACTCTAATTAGTCAAGAGTTCATGTAGAAGGAAGGTATTGATGATATTATCTTGATTTACTGGCAAAAGATGACAGCTGACGCTATGTTGTGTAACTGACTTGCATGCAACGCACTTCCAAGAAAATAAAAGATTTTTCATTAATTAGAAAAGAATCTAATTGGATTGCAAGCTTAAGCAAAGCTCCTCTTTGATTTAATTTTTTTTCACTTTTTTTTTCGTTTCTTAACTTTGTATCCATAAATGTATCAACGTGTTTACGAATGTGTCATCTTTTTTCTCTTTCTCTCCCACATTGGCATTGTTCTCCCCAATCTTCTTCTACAATTTCAGAACCCTAACATCTCTCCCTCCCTCTCTCTCTCTCTCTCACTCATATTTTATCAGCATCCAAAAGCAGATTCAAAGTTCTGGTTGTTCTCCAGTGGTTCATGCCACCTACGTCGGCATCCTGTGAATATATATATATATATATATATATATATATATATATATATATATATATATATATATATATATATACATATATAGCTGCAGAAAACTGGTCACTTCGTTTTTGAAATAGCCATTGCCGGCAGCCAAGCCCCTTCCGCACAAGGAGGATGAAGAAGACAATTTCCTGCAGGGCTGCGACGGTGGCTTTGGCGGCCTTGTGTTTGTTTTTCATCGTGTTCGAAATCAGCGTCTCTTCAACCTCCAGATTTCTTAAATATGCTGCTACTACTACTACTACATATTCAGCCAAGACTCAAGGTACGAGAAATATTTTCAATCCCTCTGCTATTTTTTCATTTTTTATTTATTTATCAGAGTTAAATTATTCCGGCGTCAATTTTGCATGTCCTCCACTCGTGTATTAGCTATCTTATTTATTAAGAGCTCATTTAGAAGTTTTTTTAAAAATGATTAAGAGCTTTGTTGTGAAAATGTTTTTGAGTTCAGTCATATTCTTTAAAAATGTATTTTTAGTCATTTTAAAAGCACTTGTAAACGACATAATATCATTGACCTTTACCACTCAATATCCTCACTGATTTTGATTCAAACTTTGATTTCAGAGGAAGGGAATCATGAAAAAACGAAACTGATCGATCAGCCAAACTCTCACCCTTCAGAATACTTGCAACTTCCTGTGAAAAGACGAATCATCTGCGACCGTACTGATGTACGCTATGATCTTTGTTCAATCAACGGTCCAACTGTCTTGGACCCACCCACCTCCACATTCTTCACTATGGGCTCGGCCCAACCCCCACAGGTGGAAAAAGTCCAGCCCTACCCTCGAAAGTTCGAAGGCTTCATAATGCCTCACATCAGGAACCTCACCCTCACTTCCGGCCCACAAAGCCCACCATGTAAGGTCCGGCACAGTGTTCCGGCCCTAGTATTCAGTGCGGGAGGGTACACCGGAAACTTCTTCCATGATTTCAACGACGGGTTCATTCCTCTCTTCATCACCGTCAACACAATCTTCCCTGATCAAGAGATCGTGATCGTGGTTTCCGAAGCTCCCAATTGGTGGCCTAGTAAGTATGCAGATCTACTAGCCATGTTCACCAAGTACCCTATCATTATCCTAAAAAATGCTACTACCACCCATTGTTTTCCTTCAGCCACCATAGGCCTCATCTCGCATGGTTTCATGACCATAAACCAAACTTTACTACCAAAACCAAAATCGTTCATGGATTTTCGGGTCCTCCTAGAAAAGGCCTATGGCCCAAAAGCCCAGCCCAAAGTCTTGACATCCAAGCCCACAAGGTCACGCCCGAGACTCGTGTTGGCCAACCGCGAAATGGCACACGGGCGCGTGATTATGAACCAAAAACAATTGATTAGGTTAATTAAGAAAGTGGGTTTTGAATTGATTGTGTTTAATCCCAAGAGGATGACCCCGTTGCATGAATCTTATGCGTTATTGAATTCGAGCCATGCTATGATCGGGGTCCATGGAGCCGCATTGACGCACTCTTTTTTTCTTCGACCCGGTTCTGTGTTTGTTCAAGTGGTTCCGATTGGGATTGAATGGGGTGCATATGCTTTTTTTGGGAGGATGGCTAGGTCTTTGGATTTGGAATATTCGGAGTATAAGATTGGTGTGAACGAGAGTAGCTTGGCCGACAAGTACGGGAAGGAAAATTTGTTGGTAAAGGACCCATTTGCCCTTCAGAAAACAGGTTGGCCACCTGAGGTTATGAACATTTACCTCAAGGAGCAAAACGTCAAACTGGATTTGGAAAGATTTAAGAGTTGTTTGAAGAAGGCTTATACAAAGGCTACCAGATTTATGGAGAAAAATGGTTAATTAGTTTTATTTTTTAAATTTTTTTCTGTCAAGGTATTAACTGCCCAGCTTGTATTTTTGTTTTCATCTGAAATAATATTTGATTGAGTGTTTAACAGATTTTGTTTTGAGACCACCACAAAAAAATTAAAAAATTAAAAGAAAAAGAAGAAGCTAGGAAACAAAAATAATTTAAAATCAAATTCCATAAAATCAGAAGGGCTACATCAAAGTTAATTGATTACTTACAACACAAAAGTTTACAGATGTTTGTTACTTTATTATTAACATTACGGTTTAGTGATATCTCTCTTCATTAAATGATTGATTTTACTTTTGATCCCGCGATACTACATGTTTTAAATTGTGTAAAACAGGTAGAAAGTTCTAAATACATAGATGATAGTCAATACTATTTACAACCCTATTTACTATAAGAAAAAAAAAACAACAATTTCACAGATAATTTAACTACAAATTACAAGGATAATCACATTCAAAACAAAAAAAAAATATGACAGTTACAATGAAGGTGTCATTAAATGAGGCAAAAATATGAGCAACACTGAAAACATGCTATTCGTCACGAAAACAGGTTCAAGAGTTACGTTTTCAGTCTTAGCCTCCCTAGTCTTCCTCCTCGACTACAAATAAAATCAATAACACAAAATTAAAAAATAATCAGAGTGTTCCGATATTTCCAATAAACCAGTCACTACTATCCACTCTGAAACGTTAACACTATGTTTGGATGAAGGAAATAAACTTGGAATTTAGATTAAAGTCATAATTTATAAATTGACATGCATCAATTCCCTTGTTTGAATTCATAAATATAGAAATTTAGAATTTATGCGTAGAAAAAAACTTGGAATTTGGGACCTTCAATTCCCAGTTTAAATTTCATGTAAATAGGTGTCAATTCCCAATTTCTATGATTGAGAGTTTAAAAATAACAAATTCCGTATTCAATTCCATTGTTTTTTTTTTGTTAACCAAACAAAAAAATTCACAAATTATAGGAAATAAAATCTCGTCGTTTTAATTTCCGTCATTTTAAAATTTCTTAATAATCTTAAATTTCTTCATCCAAACATAAGGTACCGTTTGGTACGTGGGACGGGATGGGACGGAACGGGACGAGCTGTTTCGTCCCACGTTTGGTGCACCCAAAAACTGTGGAACGGGTTGTCCCATGAGACGAAATTTGGCTGATTTTTCGTTCCACCTCTTTCCCTTGGAACGACCCGTTCCACATCCGTAGAACACAAATTTATAACATTTTATGACAAAATTTCTCCTTATCTTTTTCAATATTTACATCATATGTTCCGTCCTCTTCCGTCCTGTCTTGTTCCGTCTCGTTCCGTCCCGTCTGCGTACCAAACAGTACCTAATGTAACGGATTTTCGTTTGCTCATAAACCAAGCCTATATCGAGAAGTCCAGTCACATAATCTTTACATCCGACCCCATAGACTCTCAACCAGTACTCGTGTGAGCAACCGCAAAAAGGCCCACATACACTCGGTGCGAACTAGGACCAAGTGACGGAGCCTGATGAAGGAGGTGGGATTTGATGTGAAAGTGTTTGTGCCCAACAACAAGGAATTGGATCCTCTCCTAAGCTTGGGCTCATGAGTCTCCTGACCAACACATAAGGGCTGTTGGATTTTAATCCAATGACTACAAATATGAGGACCTCTAAAAGTTATAATAATTGTAGACGTTTAATCGAAATCTATCGATCCTTGTGTGTTAGTCAGGAGGCTCCTGAGCCCAAGCTCAGGAGAGGATCCAATTCCCAACAACAAAACCCCACTGACTCTGCGCGGGGATCTGTTTTTGTGCAGGTGATTCCGGCAGGGCTAGATTGGGCGGCGCATGCTTTCTATGGGAAGGTGGCAAAGGATTGAAATTTGGAGTAAACGGGAGTAGATTGGTGGACAGGTATAGCAAGGACGATTTGTTATTAAAGGACCCATATGCCCTTCAGAAAAAGAAAAAAACATAAAAATAGTTGGCCAACGGACATTATGGTCAGTTACTTGTGCCAACAACATGCCAAACTTGGTTTGACCAGGTTGGAGAGTTGTTCGGAGGAGATTTATGGAGTTGAATGGTTTGTACTGTAACTCTGCGTCTGGACAAAAGAAATGAACTTGGAATTCAAACGAAAGTTGAAACATTTATAGAAGGTAGAGGTGACAAATCAACATGTTTAGTTGCTAATGAGTACTCCTTAATATCCATCTAGTTTAATTTCGTTTTATACCATAACCACTATCAATCTCACATCTATATTATGAAGATATCAAATTCACTGATCTTAATGACTATACATTAACAACCTATAATAAGTTAATTTTCCACCTCTAATCGGAAGCAAGACGTGCAATTTGCAAGGTTTGTGCTTTAATTTTTGTTATATGTATCCCAAATCAGCACCTTCAAATGATTAGATGGTAATGATTTAAAATTTGAAAATCCTCACATTTTCGATTCCTATCTGTTTCTTTAAGCCAAAACGTATCGATGATTTCATGGGATCTTAAATCATTTGGTTAAACAGTAAAATAAACAATGTTCTTTCAGCACCCATCTGATATTCCATGGACCACATCGCAAATGACATTGTATTGTGCTGCGATGTGATTTCCTAACAACTTCTGTATATTATATATAAATATAATTGTATAATAATAGCATGTTAAACGACCTTTTCTAAACAAATATCTTAACGTACAAAAGACTTGAAAGTCAATTGTTTGATTTGGAGAGGAAAGTTTCCAAATGATGACATTTCCAACGAAGTAGAAAGAAACAAAACTTGCTACTCTTACAATATTTTTTTCTTATATTTTTTTAATCATTTTTTAATAAAAATAAGACTTATATTTGTTGGTAGGTCTTATCTCTATTAGAGAGATAATACAAATATTATTTACATTAAAAACCTGCTACTTCAAGAAGAGATTTGTATGAAAATGTTTTTGCTCACCACTCTCAAGTGATGATGAATATACCAGTCACCACTCCACTTTATTTATAGTTGGATAAATTTAAATTGGGCGACGAGCATTACCGTTAAGAACGGTGAGCAAAAATACAGCCAAAAAGAAATCCTAAGGAAACTTTTTAAAAAATGGAATGACATTAAACTGTAAGTGGTAAATAATTTATAAAAATTCTTACTTTGAAAGAGTTTTTAAGCATTTCTCTGCACAAAAAATATAATATGTAGTTATCAATTTTGTAACCCTAACCATAATGTATTCAAATTTGGCTATTAGTCACCAATTTTTTTGGCCCCACTTGTGAATTTGTGGTTTACAAAAGCCAAAGCAGAAAACGTCTATTAAGCACTTTTTGGCTTTTGCTTGAGAATCCCATAACGTAACCAAATCCAAATCAAATCGCACCAGTGACCGCCATGGATGCCAAGCTCTTGCAAGCTTCAATTCCCAATGCTTCAGCCCACAACGCCTCAAGGCCTTCACTACCCACTCCCCATTTGGTCAACCACACCATTTTTAGCACCCCCAACGGTGTTTTCCGATCAAATCCCGGAAGAAAACTGCACCGTCCTCTCCAAGTTTCTTCTTTTGCTGCAACTTCTCCCATCAGGTAAAGACGATCGTTTTGACTTTAATGTTCTTCAATTTTTAATTTTTTTACATGGGTTGTTTAGTGTTATGTTACTGCTGATTGGGGTCGTTAAGAATTAGGTAAATTGTCATGGAAAATATATGGTTTTCTGAAAATAGAGTAAATTTGGATTGTATATGGTTTGCTGATTGCATAATGTTCTTGCATGGAAAGGTTGTTGTATAACGTGCACTGGAAGAGCATTTCCCGTTAGGATTTTAACAATCTAATCACATTTTAGACAAGTTTTCAAAGGGTTTTGAGGTTTAATTATTCACTAATTTTCTGTTGGGCTTATTGTAGCTCTTTCGAAATTTGTGCAATCTCTAGAGAAATCTACTTGTTGCATTTCCAAAACCAGTAATATTGTTGCAGTCCAACCCCTTTTGTTTTTTTTTTTGGGAGTCCAACCCTTTGAGTTTACCAATATAGTTAAGTAGTTTGTTGTTTTGACTGCTAGAAAAGTCCAGTCTTGGTTCATTAAAGAGTAAATTGTAACTTAATTGGAGCAATTGTTCCTCAACTAAAAATTTATTACCATTAGTCCTTCAACTCATCAAAACGTGCAGCTATGGTCCCTCAACTAAAATTCAATTATCATTGGTCCCTCAACTTTAATCCAACTTGAGAAATGATTCCTCAACTCTAACCCAATCGGAGCAATGATCTCTCAACTTTAACCCAATTGTAGCAATAATCCTTCCAACATAACTCATTTTGATAAAATTCTGACGAAGTTGACGAAAATGATCATAGCTACACATTTTGATGAGTTGAGAGACCCCAATTGTAGAAATGATCATTCCAACGTATCTTATTTTGACAAAATTTTGACGAAGTTGACAAAAAGGACTATAGCTACACGTTTTGATGAGACGATGGACCAATGATAATGGATTTTTAGTTGAGGGAGCTTGCTCCAATTTAATTTATCTACAAACTATGAATTAAATAACATTAGCTGACTCATTTGATACTCTTTGTCTGTCAGGTGAGGTGATTTTGTTATTTGTTTGTATTTGAGACTTGATTAGTCTATTATTATGCTTGACATCGAACGAGAAAATCGAGCTATTGTTACAATAAAATAGCTTGAGACTTGCAGCCAAGTGCTGCATGTTTTGTAAAATCATGTTAAGTTTCTCTTGGCAGCCGGAAATTTATCCGTGTGAACACATTTCTGCTGCAATTAACATACTTGATAAGATCATTACTCGTTCAAATGTGCCCAACGATGCCTATGTATCAGGAGGTTTTATGTAAAAGCGAATGAACTTACTATTTCTCAGTGAATCAACAATTTTTGGCAGCCTAACTTCTGACATCCATCTTCTTTTTCGTATAGGTATTCAAGTAAGAAAAGGGTGGATGAGAGCGAAATCTTAACTCTAGACAGTATAAGGCACTCTTTGATTCGACAAGAGGATAGCATAATATTTAGCCTTTTGGAAAGGACTCAGTATTGTTATAATGCAGACACATATGACCATGACACCTTCTCGATGGAAGGATTTCGTGGGTCACTGGTTGAGTTTATGGTCAGGGAAACTGAAAAACTCCATGCCCAGGTAATCTAAATGAGATATAAAAGATTAAAAGCAGCAAGCTCTTCCTGAAGAAGGGATCCCCTGTAATGATGTTGGAGATTTTCTTAACTACCTTTCGTTTTTGCAAGCCAGGTGGGGAGATACAAGAGCCCGGATGAACATCCTTTCTTCCCAGCACACTTACCTGAGCCAATGCTTCCTCCTTTGCAGTACCCTCAGGTAAATTCTGATACACAACATGATAATTACCCTTGTGTTTGTAAGTTTTTAAGTTCACTCGCATAATTCGGCTTGTTTTACTGTATGTTTTCTTAGTGATTTCTGACCTGCGTTTTCTCTGATAACGAAACTAGGTTTTGCATCCGCATGCCGATTCAATTAATATAAACAATAAGGTTTGGAATATGTACTTTAGAGATCTCCTTCCCAGATTAGTCAAAGCAGGAGACGATGGTAATTGTGGATCAGCTGCTGTTTGTGACACACTTTGTTTGCAGGTAAACCATTAAACCACTATTAACTGAAATTATTACAAACACACATATAATAGTTTATTAAGTTGTCACATTATACTAGTTTAGGGAGTTAAGTGTCGTATTATAGTTAAGAGGCTTGTTTTATTTGTTTTTCTGTTTCGTCTCCTTTTTTGTCTGGTTGTTTAGTTTGTGGCGTCCAAACAACAACAACAAAGCTTTATCCCACTAAGTGGGTCAGCTGTATGAATTCTAGAATGCCACTTTGCACCATATCTTCCATAAGCTCCAAGTACTCCATGTCTTTTTGTAAAGTCTTCCTAGGGCTTCCTCCTTGTTGAGTTTATTGAATTCTTCTCTTGCGAACCGATCTTTGAAATTTTGAGTTTGTGACAATTGTCTAGGATGTTTTTTTCGATGTTTTTGTTCCCTACACTGTTGTTTGAGTTGAATTACTAAAGGTTGACAAAACTTAAGAAAGAATGACTACTTTGCTGCAGTCTTCCTCTCTGAATTTTCAGTTAATATGCAAGTATTTGCAAAACTACTACTACGTTAGATGGGCTTGTTCGTAAGACTTTGCGTTGTTGTGTTAGATTCTACGTTAATCCTTTTAGAGCACCCTTATTTTTTTATCTCCTTCCAATGTTGGATGTTTGTCACAGGCGCTCTCGAAGAGAATTCACTATGGTAAATTCGTGGCAGAGGCAAAATTCCGTCAATCCCCTGCAGAATACGAGGCTGCCATTAGAGCACAAGTAAGCTTCCTCTTATATATGTTCCCTGATGATCATGTTTTTGCTTGATGGTTCATTATCTCACATATTTAAGTCGTTTTTTTTTTCTTGTGCCGGTGTGGTTCTTGCAGGACGGAAATCAACTGATGGCGCTGCTGACGTTTGAAACAGTTGAAGCAGCGATCAAGAGGAGAGTGGAGATGAAAACGAAAACGTATGGGCAGGAGGTTAAAATCCACGAAGGGGAAGATAATGCAGCTAACCCTGCATATAAAATCAAGCCACATTTGGTTGCCAGTCTCTATGGGGATTGGATCATGCCTCTCACAAAGCAAGTTCAGGTTGAATACCTCTTGAGAAGATTGGATTAAGTGAAAACAATCACAATTGTCCAATAAACCCATGATTTCATTTTGTTTAATTTATTAATACTTATGTAAGTTTTACGGAAGACTTTGCGCAAAACCGAGCGCAACAGTGTTCTAGAATTCATACAATTGACCATACTTAATGGGATAAGATTTTGTTGTTGTGATACAAATGTGAAGACAATATTTACGAGTTGAGTTGTTATTTCGTAGACCTTTTAATCTTTTCATACGTGTCACTCGTTTGCTTTGGATTGCTGAATTAGTTTTTGAATGTGAAACTTCATTAAGAAAAAAAAATGGTCACGTGAGGAGAGACACATACGTTACAGTATGAACTCTGTAAGTTTTAGCTCGACTACATTCCCCAAACTAGGGTTTGAAAGGATATCATACATATATCCAAAGTTGTCATCTTTCAAATGGCCTGTAAATTACGCGATTTGTGATCCCCACCATGTGCAGAAGAGCCTTTAGCATCCAAAAGGGGAAGAAAACGAAGGAAAATAAGAAACAAAGAATGTGACTTCTAAGTCAAGTGATATTTTTTGTTACCTTATGGATTAAATGAGCACTTAATTATCACGAAAACATCACTTCACCTTCTAACTTTTCCATTGTATCAATTTCTTTACAAACTTTCACTTTGTGTCACATCCTTGTCCATTACTTCTTGACTTTTGCTCCATTATATTGACATTATTCTATGTTCACGTGATATTAATAATAAAAGAGCAAATTATAGCAATAGTTTCTTAATTCTTACTCAATTGAAGCAATGGTCCATCAACTAAAATTCATTACCATTGATCTCTTAACTCATCAAAAGGTGCAGATATGGTCACTCAACTAAAAATTCATTACCATTGGTCCCTCAACTTTAATCCAACTAGAGAAATAGTCCCTCAATTTTAATCTAATTGGATAAATGGTCCCTCAACTTTAACCCAATTGTAGCAATGATCATTCCAACATAACTCGTTTTGACAAAATTACGACGAAGTTGACGAAAATGACCATAGCTACACGTTGCGATGAGTTGAAGGACCCCAATTGTAGCAATGGTTCTTTCAACATAACTCATTTTGACCAAATTTTGACGAAAATGACCATAGCTACACATTTTGATGAGTTGAGGGATCAATGATAATGAATTTTTAGTTAAAGGACCAGTGCTTCAATATGATTGAAGTTGAGGGGCCGTTGTTGTAATTTACTCATAATAAAATGTACAACTGCAAGCCAACAAGGTTTTTCTTTTTACGATGGTTGGGGGAAAACGTCTATCTTACGTAGTTTTACGTTTGTTTTGCAATCTTAACTCAAATTCATGATCTTTTGATCACAAAAGAGTAATATCCATTACTCTAAGACTCATCTCCGACATGATATTAAGAATATGAATGAAAAATTGTTAGTACATTGAGTATTTTTTAAACAACAATTAACTAGTCAATATGTGAAACAAATGTACTGGAATAACGTGAGATACAAAGAAAAAGTCCTAATAATTTAAATAACAACGGTGAAACTATACTTATGATACTACACTTTATCTTAGCCAAAAGAAGAAAAAAAGTACACATACTCATGATATTACACTTAGATCTTAGCCAAAAGATCGAGGAAGATATACATACTTATTCTTGCGTTCCTAAATTAACTAAGAACGTAATTGTGCAAAGTTTTATAGATAGTTTTCTTATTATAATTATATTCCTCGTTGATTAAGATTTTCTCTCCCTTATTAGTATACTTACGAAACGTTTTCACTATCTCTCTACCGCACCATCTTTATAATTCCTTAGTAAAATAGGTCTACAATACTTACGATATTGTCTAACGGGTATGTTGATGAGCAAGCCTTAAAATAGTAAATAGTAAACTCTGTCTGTGGTTGTCGGTAAAAAAGCAAAAGAAAAGGGGCAATAAGAAGGGAAAGTTTGAACTTCTGAACCCATGAAAAGCAGTAAATCGGCGGCCGATTCATGTCGAAAGTACAGAAATACCCTTAACGTTGCTTCCCAAATGATTCGTCTTTATTGATAAGTGTGAGCTGGGGATGTTTGTCTCCATCCGACGGCTTCAGATTAACCGAGAGCAAAAAGGCTTTATATACTCATCGCTGCTCACTCACCACCACCACAACCACCACTGTACTCACCAGAGAGAGAGATAGAGAGAGAGAGAGAGAGAGAGAGAGAGAGAGCGGAGGAGAGAGAGTGAGAGAATGGAGAAAGCTCTGACGAAAGTGAACAGCTTGAAAGTTGGGAGCTTGTGGATCTCGAAGAAGGCCAAGGAAGAATTCTCCAACATCTCCGACGACCTCTCTGTATGTAACAGTAATCTTTCAGTTTGTTCTCTTACCCTTTTGCTTTTTCCCATGATTATGTTGTTGTTTTTGTTTTTGGTCGGTATTTGTGTAATGCGGCTTGAATCAAGTTTACCCAGTTCGTGATTTTCTGCTAATCTTGCTTTAGTCGATGGTAAATTGCAATTACCGGTGGATGGGGATCTGATCTGTTAGGTTTTTAACCGTAAGAGAGTGAACTGGAAGATGGGTTTTGGGTGTAATCTGAATTTTATTTGCTGATTTGATTTGATTTTTGGTAAATTGTGTTGTGGAAATAAAAGTTAAGGACTTTAAAATTTTAAAATTGGGAATTAATAATCTTAGGTTATGGGTTAATCAATACACGTTCCTTCGCGGGAAGCCTTGTTGGCTTGGCGTCGCCCTTTTTAGAATAGAATATTGTCTGGTAAAAATATATAGAAATCAAGGGAATGAAGTTAGAATATAACTTGTTGACAGCAAACATTCTGCAGAAAAAAATAAGATTTTGTCCAAGTCTTTGTGCTTTCTTAATCAGATTGTTTGTTGTTGCAGACATTCTCGAATACCGTCGAGGAGAAGGCAAAATGGGTTTTCAACAAACTAAAAGGTGTGGAACAATCTTTACCATCATATCATTAGCATGACTGAATTGCAGATCGATGCAATATTTGCAGTACATTACTTGCCAGTCAACAATCTGCCTTAAAAATAGTAATGCTTATTGTTCGAACGATGAGTTTTCTCTCTTGTTTGATTCACCTACAGGAAAGCCGCCGAAAAGCTTGCCAGATCTCCTTCGAGAGTACAACTTGCCACCGGGGCTGTTTCCGCAGAACATTACCTGTTATGAGTTTGACGAAACAAAATCCAAGCTCATTGTGTATATGCCCTCAGCATGTGAAGTTAGCTTCAAGGATTCCTCTGTTATGAGGTACGCGACACGGGTAAAGGCCATTCTTCTAAGGGGAAAGCTCACGGGGATAGAGGGAATGAAGACCAAGGTTCTGGTATGGGTTAAGGTCACTTGTGTAGTGGTTGAAAGTTCCAAGTCCGATAAGGTGTGGTTTACAGCTGGTGTTAAGAAGTCAAGACCAAAGGATGTCTACATAACACCGCGTGACTCCGTGAAAGTAGAAGAATTCTGAGTTTAGAGTAAAGCGGCGTTTCTATCGCCATTAGTGGGAAGAAGATCTGAATTCTTGCTAGCTTTTTACTTAATAGGCATTTCTATGACTGCTTCTTTTTTGACAATGTCAAATGCAGAACACTGTTATGTGGTTACTGGAAATTTCACATTTTGGCTATTGGATGAATGCAATTGCTTCGTTTTGCTTCCGTTTTCTGTTCGATGTGCATTCTGTTTTTCGCATATGATACAGTAAACGTTGAGACACGATGTATTCTGAAATTGCCATTTTATTAGAAGGGAATCACATATATCTTTTTACAGTGAAGGAATATCAGTAAACAATAACTTTCTCTGTTGACAATTTAATTTCCTATAGCTACTATGGCTGCTGTAACTTTTCTCATCTGCTTCCGAGATGACGGAGAAGTTGCACCTGAATCATGAACAATCTTGTATTGTGATATGATGTTAAGCTGCAGATGAATCACGAACAATCTTGTATTGTGATACGATGTTAAGCTGCAGATGAATCACGAACAATCTCGTACAGCGATATAATGTTTTCTATGCTCAACAGGAAGATGATGCACCATTCCAGAAGATCTGACTTTCTGTTTTGAAGGACTTCTTGCAAGAAATGAATGTTGTGCTGCGAAAAAGAACGGTTTAGTTTCAAAGAGCAATATCTACACCGGCAACATACAATTCTCCATGATTTAAGAACCGAGGTGAATTAATAAGGGACAGACCTACCTCTACAAACTTTAACTTGAAATCCAAGTTTCCGAAGCGTTGTGTAACCTCGTACTCCTCCCGAAGGTACTCATGTATTTGAGCATACTTTGCATCCCTCCAAGCAATTTCTGATCTGATGGATAAAGAACAGAATAAATATCAAAAGCTGCAACGCCAAATTATAAACCAAACTGGTATATTCAAGCACTCGAAGCACTTCCAGATAAACGAAAATGGCAGCTGATGAAAACCAAATTTAAGGTTAATCTGATCTTCCCTCAGCAAAGTCCATAGCTTATTTTCTGAATTTTACAATAAGTTGGTACCAAGATTTCTAATCCAGAAGGGGGAGAAGTTGAAACCTTAGGGTTTAGGGTTTAAATGCAATATTCAAGGTCAGTGAGAAATCTAGATCATCCAGTATACAGAAGGACCAACTTTAAATGCAATAGATTACTGATCTTGAAATATCGGTACAAACAACCGAAGAAAGCACAATGGCATTACCTCTCAAAAAGACCTACTTTAAGAATTACATCAGCTAAGTTCGAGTTAGCCTTCCCAACAAGTTGGAGGAGCTTCTTTTTATGCATTGTGAAAGTTCCAGTTTTCTCCATTCCGCGATTTATATCTGCAAACTCTTCAACCATACCATCAACCTAGAAAGACAGACCCGTGCAACCCCACGGTTGGGAGGGGATAGAGAAAGATATAGATTATCATAATCTAAGACCCAGGGTTCTCCAAATGCAATAAAGTTGGGTTACAAAAGAAGCAAGATATATTGATAAACTGAATCTGAAAATGAATTACCTGCGAAACAAAATAATCTAAGGCAATACTTTGGCCAAGCACACTGCCAATAATGCGAATAGAATCAGTGTCCAAAGTTTTGAGAACTATGTAATCTGGACCACCCTTCATGTCCTCATCCAGCTGTGGCTTTTCTTTTACGGCATAATCTAATGCAAACACACACAGAGATACAAACAGAGAATTAATTATCATAATAATTCAAAATATTTTCAACCTTTCTATTCCAGAAGAATATATTAATATCTAGAAAAATATTAGCATTGGATGATTCAATGCAGCTGAACTCAATTCAAATGAAGTGTAAGATCACATTGAGAAATCAAATGAAAAATGGTTATCTTAAAGAAATTTACCGTCTTTTCTCATCTCTGGAAGTAATCCAGAAGCATGTCTTGTAACTAGATCCAGATAAGCGTCGACTTCATGATCCTCAACATTAAACAAAACAGCAGATCCATACTGGAATACGACCATGTAACGCCAAACTCCAAATTCCTAAAAGAAAGCAGCAATATAATGAACATACTACCATATTAACTATACTCGATGCTGCTATTAGCCATTAGCCTATTACTGAAAAAGAAAAGCACACTTGTAGCTATGGAGATGATTTCCTCACTCGAAAAAGTACACTTGTTTATCTTTATAAGCCAGGTATGTCCCTGGTATAAATATGGTTATGATGTCCTCACTCGAAAGTAGTCAGTCGGACATCAATTAGCCAACACATACATAGCCTACCCCAAAAAGTAAATGAAGAAAATAGCTTAATCAACTATGTAAAGTCAAGAATCAGTCTAAAAGTCAGTCTAAATTTTCTTTCAGTATTGTTCACAGACGAAAATGGATGCATTATGCCGCAACAACGGAAATTTAATACCCACAAATGATTTCTTTATGCATATCATGAGGCAGAATAGTCTCAGAAAGGAATTTAATCACACAAGAACTTCAACCAAGCAAAGTATTAAATTGTTCAACGAATCATCATCTTACAGTATTTTCGCAAAATCTGAGGGCAATGTAATTCGATGAGCGAGAAGAAGGAGGAATGACATTGCTTAAATTCTCGGCTTGCATGCTCTTCAAATTGATACTGCGAAAACCATGAATCTGAGAAAGCCAAATCATAAAGAACACAGCCGGAAACAACTGAGAAAGTGAGAGAGACAAAGAAAAACGGAAGTGAGCCAGTACAAAAACCGCGACAGACCCCGAAACAAAAATCAACATCCCAGATCAAACATAAGAAAACGAAAATCATAGCAGCATTAGAACAGTAGGAAATGGTCAGAATGTTCAAAACAAAACCTTAAAGCAATGTTCTTTAATGAAAGTCATCAGCTTGAAGAAACAATACGAGCTTATATCAAACTAAAAACACAAATGAAGACAGACCCACATCAACATATGACAAAACAATCAAACCCAGACGAGGATTCGCAAAATTAAGAACTATGACGGCTAACCTGGTACAAAGGAAGTAGGCTTTAACGGGTATTTTTCCGGTTTCCTCGTCTTCCTTAGCTTGGCTCTGACTCTGAGCATAACAGGGCGGCTCAGAGTCGTAATCATTGGCTTCAACGGAAACCCGAGACGGGATTGCAGAGAAGGGTCGTGAATTGAGAAAGCGGAAGTGGAAGGAGGTGGAGGCTGAAGGGCGGTGAAGATGGAAAGGAGGCTTGGCGGGAACAGAAGATTTATAAGCTCCGGCGGCGGCTACGCGGCTGAGGAGAAGAGAAGCAGCGGCTCTCCACCTCCCCATTCACTGAAGCTTCAAGGTTTTGGGAAGCCGAGTTAATTTCACTGCCGTCTTCGAAGTGAAAAGCACAAGTTTTGCTACTCGTTTGCTTCTGCTCCTCCTCCAGCTTTTTAGGAAGTACGACATGTCGTTTTGAATTTGAGTAAAACGACGTGTGGTTTACTGTTGCCTAGCAAGTAAGAACCTCCTGAACCCTTGGACGGCTGAGAAAGCCAGTCCCTTTGAGCAAACGAAAAGCGCCAAGAACATCTGAGTGAGCATAGAGACTGAGGAAGAAGAAGAAAAATGGCGATTTTTGGGGATCTGAGGGTCACGGCTACGCTGACTTCTCACTCGACGCACTCTCTCCGAACCCTTTTTCCCAATTCAAAGGTCTGAATTTCTTTTTCTGGGTTACTTCTCATGTATTTTTGTCCTATTTTGTCTCTGATTTTATCTGGGTTTCGTGCATTTCTTCCAATTTCTCTTTCTGGGCTGTTTGGTTTCCGGGAAAATGAGAGAAAGGAGCCGAGGATTTGGGTTTTGATTGAGGTCAACTGTAAGACTATTGTTTCTTTTGTCCCTTGTTGGAGAATTTTATGAATTTCTATGGTGGCTTTCTTATTCTGTTTAGAAATGAAAATTTGAAATATTATATCGAATTTGTTGAACTACCAGTTAATTTACGAGCTTAAGTTAGAAGAATATGGTGCAATTTAGTTATTTTATGCCCATTTAATCGAGGGTTTTTCCCTTTGGTCTTGTAGCTAAAAGGAAAATGATGAGGACTTTGTTGTAGACTGAGGGTACTTGAGAGTCTTACTTGTTGTATTTCATCACCAATTCCGCTTGTAAGTGTCGATCTGAAGCTAAAGAAGTATGCAAAACTAACAACACTCGGTTATTTTTCACCGGAGAATTCTTTACTGGACCACTGATTATAAGTTTATAACTTAAATTGAAAGGCGTTTTCATCGTGATTGTTGACTAGTTTTCACTTGTCAGAATCATAATGATGACCACGGTGTCATGGTGTCAAATTATATGGAAATACTTTCTTGTTTTGTTCAGTTGCTATCATGTTGAATTGGGTTTGTCATTTCGGTTACCGATTCTAGATTCTTGTGTTCTTCTTAGTAGTTAAGTGATGTCATCGTAACAGCCTAACAGGGATCAAGGGTATGATAGTTGTCTACTGAGCTATGATTTCATATAATGCATCACTGTTTGTCCATCTATATGATCTTCCATGGTGTTTGTTTGCATTGTATAAGGTATTTTTCTGAACTTTATGTTGAATCGAAATTGAAGTGTTTCTTTCTTTATGGCCGGTTGCCTGCTGTGATCTGTATGGTTGCAGTTGAACTGAGGCGTCCCTAACGTTTTTCCTTATTCACAAAGGGAACTAAGTCCTCACTTTCATTTTGTTATTGAAAACCTACATGAATGGAAGTTGAAATGTTGTTTTGCTCCTAATTGTCACTTAAGATGGTATAATAAGATGTGCAAATATCTTCCGCTAAGTCTCTGCTCGGCTTCCAATTTTTTGTGCTGTGTAATAGGTAGACTTTGCTAGCTTTCCAAATGGAGGGTCTTGCGTTTCTGAGATTATGCCAAAGTGGCCCAGTATGTCATTTGATAGACGTAATATTCGTCAACATTCCAGGCGGTTGGCTGGAGATTTTCAATTGTCATCAAACTCAAGTAGCCAAGATTCCGAGGGCTTCCTCCTCAATGCCATCAACATGAGTTTCTTTGACCGTTTAAACTTGGCTTGGAAGATACTATTCCCGTCTCCGACATCTAGAAGGAGCTCTAATGCTAACATTGCCAAGCAGCGCTTGAAGATGATCCTATTCTCTGACCGATGTGCAGTTAGTGATGAGGCTAAAAGATTGATTGTCAACAACATTGTGCATGCTCTGTCAGATTTCGTTGAGATAGAATCGCGAGACAAAGTTCAGCTGAGTGTGTCTGCCGATACTGATGTGGGAACCATTTACTCCGTCACGGTACCTGTAAGACGGGTTAAGCCAGAATACCAGATTGGAGACGAGACTGGAACAATAACCAATATCGAGTACAAAGATACCGGTGACAGTTCTGGTTCTGTTGATGTCAAATTTGATTTCTTCATCCCTGACTAAAGCAACTCGTTCGGTTTCTTTAGGTTCAAGAAATAGATTATTGTGTTTTGACTGAAGCCAAAGAAGTTTATGTTTTAGATGTTTCGGATTGGACCTGTTTCTCCTGTATATATATGAAAAATTCGTGTAAGCCGATTAGGAGGAATCTTCTTCTGCTGAATTCACGGTTTCGTTTTGGGGGAAAACTAATGAAAGGGATTTGAAAACTTTGAGTTTTAACGATAAGGACAAAATAAAGGGTAAAGTAAATAGTACCAAGATTGATTTTTTAGTGTAAAAATATGATTTTTCGTTAAAGTGAATAGTACCGGAGGTTTTTCGTTAAAGTTCCCTTGGTTTTGTTATGGCTCTAATTATACTACATATGTGAGTGTATTTGATCGTCTGCTCTAGTTATTTATTTTTATCAAGGGCAATGGACTCGAACTTTGGGGGAACAACAATTTCTGAAATTAAAAAAAAAAATGTTTTCTATGGCATCTCGTTTGAATAGCCGATTGCATTGGAATGGATGAACCACTATTCTCAATATTGAAGCAAAAATGAAAAAACTGTGGCAAACTTTGAGATCCAAGATGGAATAGCATCAAGAAAAATTTTCAGTTTCAATCCTATGTTAGAGTATTAGAGTCGTTTTGAATGTCATTTTGTTATAAATGACGAGATCGGGATCAAAGTGTTTATTATGTGACTTAGCCCAACCGTCTATCCTCAAAATCCATCAATCAAAGAGAAAAGAAGGAAGAATCCCATTTTGTCAAAAAAATTAAAATAAAATTCAGTGGGATTAAACCAGTATGACATGATAAAGAAAAATAGAAAAAAATTAACAAGCGGGGATTGAACCCGACGTGAATCGAACACGCAACCTTCTGATCTGGAGTCAGACGCGCTACCATTGCGCCACGGATCCACCTGTTGTTGAACTCATTAGTTAAATATATTTAGACGTTTACAAATAGCCTCAATTTAAATTCAACAGATATTTATTGTACTCTGAGCGGGAACTTTTCATCTCCTCCCCTCCCAAATCCTCACTGGCAATTTCTAGGGTTTATGGAACCGAACGAGGTGTGAATCCCAAAGCTCCATTTCTTATCAATTTTGATAAAATTAGTGAAATTTCTGTCCAGCTCTGTACGTTGGATCGTTGTGCCAGTTCGGTCTACGAAGACCACAATGAGCGGAGCTCCTTTGAAGTTCGAAAACCCGATCCGAGATGCAATTTCCAGAATCCGATTCGCCCCGAAATCCGACAACCTCCTCATCTCCTCTTGGGACTCTGTGAGTGTTACTCCAATTTTGTGCTTAGCAATTTGTAGTTTGTAGCACTTTTGGCTTTTCAATCGTAAAAATTGATTCTTTATTTCTTTTTGCAGAGCTTGAGATTGTACGACGTCGGAAGCTCACAGCTCAGATTAGAAGCTCCGTCGGAAGCGGCGCTCCTCGATTGCTGTTTCCAGGACGAGTCCGTCGCGTTTGCTGCCGGTTCTGATGGCGTCATCAGAAGGTTTGTCACTGGGATTTGTTTCATTTTGCTTGGGATTCTGTTGAAATTATCCTTGACCACTGTCTTAACACTTTAATTTTTAGCTTAAATTGATGGGTAATCATAACTTTATCAGTTAATGGGGTTGATTTCTAATATTTTCTTGCAATATTTATGAGGGATTTAATTTCCCTTTTTATTGTCAAAGCAATATGTGCCGACTCTTTTCTGGGTTTTCTTATACTCAAGGTACGATTTACATTCTGGAATTCATGATTCGATTGGGAATCACGATGACATGTCGACATGCGTTGGATATTCGGAAGAAACCAGTAAGCTCTTATCTACCATTCCGCTCTCATTGACATTAAATTCTGATTTACCTTCTAAATACAGATTTTGAACTTTACATGTCATAGTTTGTCTTTTCAAATTTTCAACGGATATTAGGACAAGCATAAAACCAACTGTTTAATAGGAAATATATGTAGCACGGATATGAGTATTGTTTTTTCTTTACAATTCCCATTAAATTAAAGATTTTATGCATAAGATTTCATAACGTTCGGAATTGCTAAATGCGGTATATGATCATTATGGCATAGGTAGTGGAAATGATTGAACTTATAGACTTAGTGGACTTACAATAGGTGATAATGCTATCTTCTTCTGTATCGTGATGTTCTCTGTTATGATTTTGTGACTGAACATATTGTTAACAAATTTTCTCCGAAATTGTTGTAGGCCAACTAATCACTGCTGGTTTGGACAGGAAGATATTGTCTTTGGACACGCGTACGGAGAAGGGTTTTGTGTTTGCAAGTAATCTCGATTCGGAGGTGATGTCCATGTCACTCTCAGGTCTTGATATGATGGTAGCCATTGGATCATCAATATATGTGTATGATTTGCGAAACCCAGAAAAGCCAATTCAATCAAAAGATTCACATATGGATGTTAAGATTGTATGTGTTAGCTCAATTCCATATGCTAAAGGTATTCTCACTATACTTCACGTAGTTGTGTATGTTGTAAACCATGTACCTGTTATAGTTACTAATACTTGAACTGGCTACCTTATACAGACTCAACGTCTTGTTGATTTCGTTTTGAATCACAACTTGTATCTTATAGAAAGTTTTGAACTGTCTTTGCAGGATTTGCGGTTGGCTCGATAGATGGACGTGTAGCACTGGAGATTTCCTGTCCGTCTAGTTCAGATGACATCAGGTCAATTCTTGGAGTCTGTGTTCTTATATGATTGACATATCCAAGCCTTGCATGCTACATAATCTGCCTTGGTTTAACTGTCATTTGTTATGTTCTATGTTGTTCTGTTTGGAATGAAGAAAAAAAATTATAATTTTACTTGTTGTAATACCTTTTTTGTGCTTGAGCCGCATTTGCTTCTATGAATTCTCTTAAAAGCACTCTTTAACATTTGTTTCAGATATATGTTCCGGTGTCATCCGAAGTCAACTGATAAGAGATATCACCTAGAATCGGTGAATGACATTGTATTCAATCCACTGTATGTGTAACTCTGATACTCTATCAGCTTCGACCAACCTGAATTATGAAAACTTACTTTCTATTTGATGTTTCTGATCTAGCATGTACGGCGCCTTTGTTACGGGTGACAACGATGGTTATGTTACTGCATGGGATGCTAAAAGCAAGAAGAGGCTATTTCAGGTATTTTCTTTAAATTTTCGTGGATTTTGCTTCTTCTGCTATCAAAGTGAACGTATTTAACTTTAATTGCTTGACCTAGTTGATTTAATTGTTAATGTGTGTTCGGTTATTACTAGTTTTCATTAACTTCTCTAATCTGTTCATGTTTTCAGTTGCCTAGATACCCAAATAGTGTGGCATCCCTATCGTACAACCACAGGGGACAACTTCTGGCTGTTGCATCAAGCTACACATATCAAGAAGCTAATGAAATGTGAGTATGTTTCTACTATGATTTGCTACGTATCTGTCCTCGTATACTTAGTATAATATACCTTGTCTGCTTCCATTTGTCAGAGAAGAGCTTCCTCAGGTATTCGTTCATGAAGTTGGCAATGACAACATGAAATCAGTATCTGTTGGAAGTTCGAGCAGGAACTAATTATACACATTAAGATGAAGGTACTGGGTACGACCTTTTTTAAGATGAAGGTAACGAACTTTAACCTTGGCTCGGATTCTTATATTTAAGATGAAGGTAACGAACTTTAACCTTGGCTCGGATTCTTATATTTAACTAGGATAGGCCAAGATCATTTTTTGTTGTCTCAGACTTTGGAAGCTTTGTCCTTTTTGAACCTAATGCAATGATGTACTCGCCGAAATTATTTTCGATTTGCTGATGAACAGCAGTCAGCTGCAAATTTAGAATTCCAGGAATTGTGCTTGTTGTAGAATGTCGTTATGGTTAATCCTCCAAAGTGTAGACATATACCACTTTCATTGGTTTTATTTAGTTTCTACTTATTGGATCCATGAATTTCCAAATGAAAAAGCTCGAAGCATTGACATTTGTAAAAGATATGTTTGTTGAATCATTTTCACATCAGCCTGCAAAATTATGAAACCATTTGACATCTTGGATACTCGTTCTGTGTAAGGTCTGCTCCTTAAGTTGATTGCCTTCAAAATTTACATCCATTGTGATCATGTGCTGTTGATACTGTATCAATATTAAACATACATTCATAACATGTTGGTACGTTTTGTTGGCAACAATAACTCATATTATTACTAATAGCATAATGCTAGTTAATGGACGTTTGTTTAATAGCTGACAAGGTAAAGTATCAATGAGCCTAATTGTGTTCCGTCCATATTAAATCCCAAAAAGGAAGATAAAAATAAACTAAATTAAGGAAAACAAAACAGGAAAGACAATGTGTATACAAGTGCAAAACAAAATATCCGATTAAGAAAACAAAACAAGATAGACAATGTGCATATAGGTGCCAATCAGCTTCGAGCGTCATCCAACAATGTACAATGACCTTCACCCAAAAAATAAAATATAAAAAGTATTTTACTCCATAAACCTTGCATTTGCTTCCAAAATATAAGTATCCTTCCTCCCAAACTACTGTAATTGGCGTTTCTTGTCTGTCACTTTCTCTGTTCTCATTATGTTAGATAATAGAACCTCAGCGTCCATGTAGGTCAGTCTCATCCTATATGCATCACAATTTTATGACAAAAATTTAGGCACTAGTGATCTTTATAGCTAACATGTTAGTTTCGATGATCACCATATCGTGAATCAACTTATTCTTATGGCTTTTTAGTTTTCTCCTATACCTCAAAGTTAATAGAATTCATTGTTTACAATCATCTGTCAAAATATAAATAAGCCCCTATCAACTAATTATTATGCAGTTACATAATGTTTATTATCACACAAATGTGATGCTGGAAATATAAATAAATATATGTTGCGTGATATATTACTAAAATTTTCTTATGAAATTCAGGCTCTGAAAAACACCAAATATGTGTGTTATTTGTTTTGAGGGATTCATAAGAACTATACCTTTGTTTTTTTTTTTTGTCAAACATGAGAACCACGCTTTCAAATCACACATACAGTTACCAGTTTTTAATCACAAATAGAGCTAATGATCTAAACAGAGAAATAAGTCATATATGAATCAAGATTTAGTGTGTTTAGGGTATCCGTCCACTTTTAGAGTTGATTAAAAGTTTGTAACCGGAACAGGTTCTGGCACATTTGCCTTAAAAATGCACCATAAAAAGTTAAGTGTAATTCTGCTATACAACTTCATGAACTTATTGAACAACTAAAACTTAGACGAGGTGATAAATTGTCTAACCTATATTTCGTTCCTCAAGAGTCTCGACTGGTCCACTTTCGTAGGTTTTGTTTACTTTTCACCGATTGAATCCATAAGTTTCAGGTGGAAAATCATGAAGCATGGTAGTCTGTATTAATATGTAAACCTTCCCGTCACCATCGTGACATTGAAATTTAGGGGATGTAATTAAACTCGGATTTGGAAGGATTTTAATAGACTTTAAAATCTTAGTGTAGTCAATCAAAGGATTTTAAAGGATTTTTAGAATCCATGCAAAACTGTGTGTAGTCAATTAAGATTTTAATAGACATTTTTAAAGTCCATCCAAATCTAGGTGTATTGAAAGATTAAAGATTTGTAGGATTTCATTAAGTTGTGGATTTTGTGGGATTTGAGAGTAAGAAGTATAAATAACCAAGACCAAATAGAATCCTACCTCACACCTTAGGATTTCAAATCCAAGAACATCTCCCTCTTCCTCTCACACTTTATCTTCTTTCTTCATCTATGCAATTTTTCTATTTCACCTATGCAATTTTTCTACAATTCTTTTTGCAATTTTGTGCAATTTTTTCTTCATGGCCAAGAAGGGGAATTGGAATTGCGTTGTGAAGGAAGAGGAGTAAGAGAGAGTCATGGAAAACAAGATTAGAGTGGTTTTGATAAAAAAAAAAAAAGAATTTTAATGAAAACCTTCCGATACTATTTACTTTAACAAAAAACCACATTTTAACACTAAAAAGTCAATTTTGATACTATTTACTTTACCTTTTATGTTGTCCTTATTATCAAAACTCAAAGTTTTCAAGCTCTTTTCATTAGTTTTCCTATTAAAAAAAACAAAAAAAAAATGATTGGAGAGGAGAGAGGCTAGCTGGAATGAAAAAGAGAGAAGAATAAAGTGGGGAGGAAATAGGATTGGAAAGAGGTGCAGCTGGAGACTTTTAAGTAGTTGGGTTTATGTGATAATTTTAACTTCATTTTAGTGAATTTATGACTTACATACATTTATTATCATTTGATTTATTTGACGGTCAAGATTCAATGCTGTAAAATCTATCAAAATCCACATAAATCTGTTATATGAATCTTCTCAAGTCTTCCAAAATCCATATGGATTTTGTACAAGTTTCATAATAATCCTATGAAATCCCTCACTTACCAAAATCTATTAAAATCCTTTCAAATCCTAAGTCGACTACACCCCCTTATAAAAGATGTGAAACCATTTGCCATCTTCTTGTTGTGTTCGGAAAGAGATCCTCTATGGATCTCTTCCACTAAGGCTACTGGATCAAGTGATATGGACTTTTAAAATTTTATCCAACGGTCCAAAATTATTATAACTTTTAAGAGATCAAAATAGGTAGACCGTTGAATGAAGTTTCAAAGGTCCGGATCTCTTTCCTTTGTGTTCAGCCAATATTCTTATTTTGCAAGGGTGTAAAATATAATTTTTGAGATAAGATAACAATTCAAAAAAAAAAAAAAAGGAAAAAAAGGAAAGATAATGTGTATTCGGGTGCAATTGCAAAGTAAAATAGCAGCCTACGAGGAAAGCAGCTAGCATTCGAGCGTCATCCAATGGTGTCAGCATGCCTCACCCAATAATAATAATAATAATAATAAAATGTATTTAAATTTAGAAACAATAGATTCTTCGTCTCCTTCGCATTTCCTTCCAAAATATAAATACCTTCCTTCCCAAAACTTGTGTCCTCCGCATATCGTCACTCTAGTCTTTCTCTAGCTTCTCTCCTATATCAGAGCGATCAGAACCAGCCATGTCGGACGAGGAGCACCACTTCGAATACAAGGCACAACACAGAAAGACATAAGCTTCCGCATAAAGAAAAATTTAGGCACTAATGACCTTTATGGTTAACATGTTAGTCTCGATGACCAACATATCGTGAATCAACTGATTCTTAAATATGTAGTGGATTTTTAGTTTTCTCCTATACCTCAAACTTATTAGAGTTCATTGTTTACAATCATCTGTCAAAATATAAATAAGCAATAAGCCCCAATCAACCAATTATTATGCAGTTACATAATGTTTATCATCACACAAATGTGATGCTGGAAATATAAATATATGTTGCGTGATATATCACCAAAATTTTCTTATGAAATTCAGGTTCTGATAAATGCCAAATATATGTGTTATTTGTTTTGAGGTATTAGTGGCTTCATAAAAACCATACTTTTTTTTTTTTTTTTGTCAAACATGAGAACCACGCTTTCAAACTACACATACAGTTACCAGTTTTTAATCACAAATATAGCTAATGTCTAATCAGAGAATAAGTCATGTATAAATCTAGATTTAGTGCATTTAGTGTATCCGTCTAGTTTTAGTGTCGATTAAAAGTTTTTAACCATAACACGTTCTATTTGTGTACATTTGCGGTGAAAAAAAAAAACACCATGTAAAGTTAATTATAATTATGCTATGTAACTTTATGAACTTGTTGAAGAACTGGAACTTATACGAGGTGATGAATTGTTAACTTGTGAGGCTCGACAGATCTACTTTCATGGGTTTTGTTTACTTTCTACTGATTGAATCCTTAAGTTTCAAATGAAAATCATGAATATTATTTTTATTTTTTTTTTTAGTTGATTGCCTTTAAAATTTATTTACTTTCGTTACTGTATCAATATTATAAACATACGTTCATAACATATTGGTACATCTTGTTGAAAATAACAACATCGACATATTACTAAAAGCATAATGCCAATTAATGAACGTTTTAGGAGTATAATTCTTTCCTTTCTTATTTTCATCTTCTTTCCTTCCCTCCTCTTTGAGAGTAGAATTCTCTCCCTTCTTATTTCCATCTCATTTACTCCTCTCCTCTCACACTTTGCGTTTTGTTTTATTAACTCTATAAAAAAAATTAATATAAAATATTGACGTAATTGTTGTGGTCTATTTTATCTGACAGAGGGACTAGGGCCGGCGGCAGAGAGAGAGAGGAGAGAGATGTGTGTTTGTAGAATTGTAGGGGAATGTGTGTGTTGTTATCCCTCCTACATTGTGCCTTTATTTATAGTAGTGAAGGGAGAGAAGATATTCATTCTCCTCCAAGTAATACAAGTTGTAATAGGAAAGGATAACTATAATCAAATCTTATCTAGGATTTACACAATCATACTTAAACTAGGAATGTTTACAACACTCCCCCTTGAGAGTAAAATAAATACTCAAGTTAGATTCAGCATGCATGCAGAAGTTGAGGAAGTCGACTCGACTCGTCGGCATTGATTCCAAGGAACAACGCTTATTCTCAATAAGGTAGGAACTTGCATAAGTAGTAAGTCTCACTAAAAAACCCTAAGGCTATGGCAAAAACCCAAGTAGGGACAAAATCCATAGTCTAAGGAAAAATGCGTGAGAAATGAAAAGTCAAAAGAAACGTCTACAGGACGTCATCAGGGATATGATCAGCCCAAGGTGGGTGCCTCGTTAAAACCTAGTTAGGTAGCAAAAAACCCAGTGGGAAAAAATGCTCCTAATCGTAGGAAAAAGGAAAAAAGAGTACATTAAGATCAAGCAAGTATCCAGAAGATACTCCCCCTGAGTTTGACATAATTCCAAAGAGAAATAGCAAAGTTACAACTCAGAAAGTTTACGCATACCAATTCCATGAACAAGCC